TAGCCTTTAGAACAGTTGAATATGTTGTTAAGAAAGTCATTTGCTGAATTACGGAACATAACATTTTTATTGATGACTGTAGGTTAGAAATTTTGGCATTGTGAACAGTGTAATACAATCTAGTGCCCTGACAAGAAGCTGAATGAAATACAGATTATACGGTAAAATTGTAATGCATCATTTGCTATTAGTGGACTGGTAATAATTACCAGTTTCAAAGCTGCTTTTCCCCCCATATAATCTTTACTCTCTGCTGTAACAGCCTTTCTCATTGACATTATGATTATACCAGCTGCCCTTCTGATCCAGAATATCTAGTTGATGGGAATGCTAAAATGCAATTACAAAAACTGTGTTGTATCTTCATTATAAGACACAGTGCTATTTCCACTGACCTAATATATAAACCAGCTAAGCAGGAGAGTATTGTATTGTTAGTAGACTGAAGGCTAATGGCATCACTTGCTGTAAGAATTTTTTTTCTTTAAAAACAAAACTAGTTTTCAACAGCAAAATAAAATTAGGTGCATTGCCCATTGCCTTTGCATTGTATTCCCCAAATTTAAGTTTGCTCTTCTTAATTTCCATCTAGACCTTTACCCAAATCTTACCAACAAGCTTATGGGAATCTCCACACTCATGTTTCTTTCTTTTCAGAAGATGTATCCTTTTATTTGCCAAGGTCTCCAGTGCCCTGTGCTAAACACCACACGTGGTTCATTAAAATTCTGGCACTGGCAAAAGAATGAAATGTTAAACATTGTTCAAAAGCTTTTTTTTAAGCAACCAAAATGCTAAACACCTGCCAGCAATGTCTGATTCTTTCTTATTTTTTAAATCATTCAATTCAAATTGTCAGACTAAATATATAATAATAGAGAAACTGAAACTTGAAGAAGGTGGGGGGGGGGGAGAGAACAGTAACTGTCAGTTGCAGTAGACGTTGATGTAATGCTGCCTGCCTATCATTTTCCAAAGTCATTTATTCAGTACCTTACATAATGAAAATCTTATAAACTTTTCTTTTTCTTCATTGAAGTAAGGAGGAAAACAAGAACAATGAAGATCAAATCCATCCGCTTCATGTTTTTCTCCCTCTTTTCCAACTGCACATATATTAAGCATGTGTTTGGAAATTTCATTTTGGCATCTGCTGTCTAATCTTGTAAGAGGGTTTGCCCAGAAGTGGGCTATATTGAGTGCTAATATAAATACTGATGTAAAGTAAATTACAGGTCATTATAGAATTACATAGTGCAGTCAAATACCATTGTAAATCCAGTTTGTTCTTCAAAGACTAATACAATATGTATTTGTAGGGGCATTTTACAAAGCACATATTCATTGTTTCCTCACATGAACATACACTATTCTCCGGTAACTCTTGGCAATTTTATGCATTAGCAAAACAATCAAGTCATCAACTTCACATTCAGCTCATGTAATGCAGTGTTATACAGATTTTAATTGTTGGCATGTCTTGCTCAACACTCTCTGTTCTGACTAGCATATTTTCAACAACTTCAACCAAGGTGTTTCCTGTAATGCAATTTTTTTACATTATGGAGAATTGCTGGAAAATAGACTTTGGACTATGCCCTAATAATCAGATGCATTTTTATGACTACAGAATTGGGGGACCTTTTTCATTTTGAGGTGGTTATTGCTATAGGGAAGAAGTGCCAGGGACTGTATGCTGGCTGTTGGCAGAGGCCAGATCCAGCAGGAGCAGAGGAATGTGTACAGCTTTTGGATTCAGCTATAACCCCAGAAGACCCACTCCCTGAAACAGAGAGAAATTGCTGCTCTCATATACTTGTTCCTTAGCAGTGTTTCATCAAGGACCAGCTGCTCTTTAGATATCATTTTGAAGGAATCTTCCAAGTGACATTGTGAGGTGGCCACGTTGACTGTCCACAAGTACTACAGATACCTCATATATACATCATTCTGAGGTCCATTTCATAACAGTGGCTATAGGAAAACTAGTAGGATAATAAACCATTCCTAAGATCACTTGTCTTAGACCAGAAGTGAGAAATTATGGTCCTTTATGGCTGGCTCAGAAATTTTGGGAGTTGAAGTCCACAAATTAAAAAAAAGGCCATAGTTCCCTACTCCTAACTTAGACGAAATGAAAGGACTGCTGTGGGGAGCCAGTTGAAAGAACAGGAAGTGGGAAGTAGGCTCTGCCCATCTGCAGCTTCAAATATCTGCTTCATTTCATGCAGTGATGATGATGTGTTTATGAGACAATTATGTTCACACAACAGTGTTTTTTTCAGGAAATGTGTAAAGTATGAACTTCAGACACATGTTCTTAGTCATTTGAATATGTATATCAGGGTTTCATAATATTTGTGTGTACTGTGTCTTCAGCATTACTGGACAAGATTAATGGAATCTGCAGAGGCAGATTTCATTTTTACTTCAATATAAATTTGCTGGGAATATGAGACTGTATATTCAGACATCTCCCCCAAACCTCTTTGTTAATCTCTTCCGTACCAGAGGAATTGTTATTTACGATGTTCCATAGGTTCCATATTCTGCACTAGAATAGCCATGGGTTGCTCACTGGTATATTTAAGGATGCCTGTTCACTATAAGAAATACTAGGAAAACTATGGTAAAATAACTTAAGGCAGAACAGTTAGAGTATATCAAAAGGATTGCTAGAAAAATATCCAAATATTCAAGGAAATTGAACCCTAACTAGATGCAAGGCTTATATTAACTCACCAAGGATGAAGTTGTTCTCATTTCTGCCAGGTTTGATTTTTTAACTGTTAGGTGGGCAAGATCTGGAGCAAGTAATGGGAGCTCACTCTGTTGCGCAGAGCTTGGGTCTCGAACCAGGGCTGTCAGCTCTCCAGCAGACAAGCTCAGTTTCTTTAATCACTGAGCCATTGTGCCCCAAGACAGACAGACATAGATATAGATGTATGTATACACATACACACACATATAACTCTTTTACAAGCCAGCAGTCTTTTACCATTTTATTTTAGCCACTTGCATATCAACACAGGAACACCACATAGAAATCTAGTTGATGCTGGATATGCATAGACACACACACACACACACACACACACTTGCATGTACTTAGTCATCCATAAGCTAATTGATAGTGAAACTGTTGTAGATTGGCGAACCAATTGGCTTGTAGGAGATATCAGACCAGGTATAGAAGTGTCCAAAATTTTCTCAGTCTCAAAGATTAGTGGAAGATGTTACATCAGATACCTTCATTTAACCTGATCTATTTAACAGGATTATTCAGAATATAAAAGGGGGAAAACTGTGTTCAGCACTTGGGACTCTTCATAGGACAATTGATTAAAAGTGAAATGAAAAATAAGTAGAGAAATGTCCACTAAAATGGTTATTGAAACAACTCATATATTTAAATAACTTATGCAGCTAGGCATCACTATTTTAAGATATTAAATTCTCATTTACAGTCTTAAATGTTTTTTAGAAAAACTGCAATTTCAATAGTTGTTTTTGTTCACCTCACTAAATTTACATAGACAATTGATTTTTCAGTCAAATGTGAGAGTTGAACTATCTGAAATATATTTTTATTTAAATTTGCCATTTCAAAAATCCTAGTATATATGTAATTTGCCCTTTTATCAGAGGCAATGTGTATGTTATAGGTCAGTTCAACTCCCCTCCCCCTAAAAATACTCCTATTGTATCATATATTTTAAACAGTTTTATTTTGACTGCTTAAGCAGGAAATATTATAATGGAATTCACTTCCATTTTTTAATGTTCATATGTTTGCAAAATAACACTGATAGTAGAAAGCAATTTCTACTCCTCTGTGATTAACAATCTGTACCCCCAGAATTAAATTTTATATTATTTCAAAAATATTTGTTTTAAAGTCAGTATGCGTATAAAGCAACTATAGACAATAATTATTTGTACACTTACTCAAGAGTAGAATCCACTGAAAACAGTTGGACATAGTTCCAGGTAACCATGAGTGCAGTTGTCTGCATCGTAACCTTTAACAACAATTGACTGAAATAATAGGAAATTAATTTAAAGTGAGCTTTGTAGTTAAGGCTGTGTAGTATTTTAGATTTGATTGGGGAAAATTGCTTCAGAATAAGCCAGAGCAGCACATTTAGTCACAATTAAAGTAGCCATATTTGTTTGCAGAATTGCACAATTGTGGTAGAAATGTCCCCTCAGTAGTCATGTCATCCTGGAAGAAATCAAAACTGTTTTTTAATGAGTTGCTCCAAAATATTTCTTCCTAACCAAATCTAAAGCATTGCACAACCAGCTTTATAGTGTAAAGTTTATATTGAATTAGTCTCTTTAAAATTTTTGAAGTTAACTGAAAATGTAGCTGAATAAATGCTATTTTTGTGCTTAAATTACAATCCCTAGTAGTGTTATCCTGTGCAATCCTACTCAAAAACGTGAGTCCTAGAATAAGAGACTTATTCTCAGGTATGTAGGATTGTACACACAATAAGTATGTTTATGTTGGTTTAGGATAGAGAGCTTAATCATTGATATTGATGGTTCTATATAGTATTGCAGTAATTGATATTTTTTAACAATGTCGACGAAGTGTATTAAGGAGATAAGTATCTAAATTCCAATGAATGTTAGATGCATGAAATCAAAGTTATGTATTTATGCAAGATATACAGAAAACAAGCAGGGACTTTTTCTCCCATAAATGTCAGAAGAATGATTGATGGGATTTGTTGCCTCAGTAAGTGGCCATTGGCTTCAGGGGCTTTAGAACAATATTAGACAAATCTATGTGAGAGGATTTGTCTAATTGAGAGGAACCCTTATGTTCTGGGTAATTACGGCAGTAAATACAGGTGACTTTGAAGGTAACGAACTGGCCACTACAAATGCCAGAATTAAACACTTTTGTTTAACAAAACTTAACTTTTCTTTTGATGTTAGAAATAATTTGATAATTAAAAGATTGATGTTACCATTGTGTTGTTTTTCAGGTAAAGATGAACCCAGCAGTTACACGTGTACAACATGTAAACAGCCATTCAACAGCGCCTGGTTTCTCTTGCAACATGCACAGAACACTCATGGATTAAGAATCTACTTAGAAAGTGAACATGGAAGTCCTCTGACACCCCGGGTTGGTATCCCATCAGGACTAGGTGCAGAATGCCCTTCTCAGCCACCACTCCATGGGATTCACATTGCAGACAATAATCCTTTTAATCTTCTTAGAATACCTGGGTCAGTCGCGAGAGAAGCATCAGGTCTTGGAGAAGGGCGTTTCCCTCCCACACCTCCTTTGTTTAGTCCCCCTCCAAGACATCATTTGGATCCACATCGCATAGAACGCCTAGGTGCTGAAGAAATGGCTCTTGCAACCCATCACCCCAGTGCCTTCGACAGGGTGCTGCGACTCAACCCTATGGCCATGGAGCCTCCAGCTATGGATTTCTCCAGGCGGCTTAGGGAGTTAGCTGGAAACACCTCTAGTCCACCATTGTCACCGAACCGGCCCAGCCCTATGCAAAGGTTACTACAACCATTCCAGCCAGGCAGCAAGCCACCATTTCTGGCAACACCTCCTCTTCCTCCTCTTCAGTCTGCTCCTCCTCCTTCTCAGCCTCCTATCAAATCCAAGTCCTGTGAATTTTGTGGGAAAACCTTTAAATTTCAGAGCAACTTAGTTGTCCATCGTAGAAGCCACACTGGAGAAAAACCCTACAAGTGCAACCTTTGTGATCATGCATGCACTCAAGCAAGCAAGTTAAAACGCCACATGAAAACACACATGCACAAATCCTCCCCAATGACTGTGAAGTCAGATGATGGCCTCTCTACAGCCAGTTCCCCAGAGCCCGGAACCAGTGACCTTGTTGGCAGTGCTAGCAGTGCCCTCAAATCTGTGGTGGCTAAGTTTAAAAGTGAGAATGATTCCAATATTATTCCAGAAAATGGGGATGAAGAAGAGGAAGAAGAGGAGGAGGAGGAAGAAGAGGAGGAAGAAGAAGAGGAGGAGGATTTGACTGAAAATGAAAGGCCAGACTATGGGTTTGGCATCAATCTAGAAGCAGCTCGGCACCATGAAAACAATTCCCGGTCTATTGAGGAGAATCGTTCTATCCCGGATGTCATGCAAGGGATGGTCCTGAGTTCCATGCAGCACTTCAGTGAGGCTTTCCATCAGGTTCTTGGTGAGAAACATAAACGAGGGCACTTATCTGAATCTGAGGTGCATAGAGATACATGTGATGAAGACTCAGTAGCTGGTGAATCTGATCGCATCGATGATGGTGCTATTAATGGTCGGGGGTGTTCCCCTGGTGAATCTGCCTCCGGAGGTTTGTCCAAAAAGCTGCTCTTGGGTAGCCCAAGCTCCCTAAGTCCTTTTTCTAAACGCATCAAACTTGAGAAGGAGTTTGACCTTCCCACGACAGCTATGCCTAACACTGAAAATGTTTACTCCCAGTGGCTAGCTGGGTATGCTGCTTCTCGGCAGCTAAAAGATCCATTCCTCAACTTTGGAGACTCCCGACAATCGCCTTTTGCTTCCTCCTCAGAACACTCCTCTGAAAATGGAAGTTTACGCTTCTCGACGCCTCCCGGGGAGATGGATGGAGGGATATCAGGCCGCAGCGGTACAGGAAGTGGAGGGAGCACCCCGCATATTAGTGGTCCAGGCCCTGGAAGGCCTAGTTCAAAAGAGGGCAGACGCAGCGACACTTGTGAGTACTGTGGGAAAGTCTTCAAGAACTGTAGTAACCTCACTGTCCACAGGAGAAGCCACACTGGGGAAAGGCCTTATAAATGTGAGCTGTGTAACTACGCCTGCGCCCAGAGTAGCAAACTCACCAGGCACATGAAAACGCATGGTCAGGTGGGGAAGGACGTTTACAAATGTGAAATTTGTAAGATGCCTTTTAGCGTGTACAGTACCCTGGAAAAACACATGAAAAAATGGCACAGTGATCGAGTCTTGAATAATGACATAAAAACTGAATAGAGGTATATTAACTTGACCCCTTCTCCTTCCTTCCCCCAATTTATTCCTGGCCCCCTGTGTAGAGATTTTCTAGTCCCTTGTGAGTAAAATATTGGAAGCTAAGAATGATATTAAGAAAGTGCTTGTCACTAGCACACCTGTTTTCATCTTCCTTTTTGTTTTGTTTCTTTTCCCTTTCTTTTCTGTTTTCATCATTTGAATGCATGATCTGTATTGGGGCAATACTACGCAAACTTTGAGCCTTTCTCTTGTGCAATAATTTACATGTTGTGTATGTTTATTGATTTTTTTAAAAATTAGACAGCATGTATGGTATGTTATGACTGTTTTTTTTAAAAAAAAAATGTCCCCAAATTCTTTGCTGAGCAAACAGACAAAAAGATCTTTCACACACATGCACAGCACCATGGCTGTTTCCAGTGATGTTCCAGAGAGAGAGAAAGAGAGAAAAGTAAAACAAGTATTTTTAAACAACCAACCATGCTGCATACATTCTGTAATATATCATATCCATGTTTGTGTTTTAACAGATAAATGAAAATGTGCTTTGAATTAACCCTTTCTGGATAGACAGATAAGACTGAAAAGGGGAAAATATTCCTTGTTACTTTGATTTCTGTCTTTAAAAACATTGACAATTTCAGTTAATTTTTGGTAGGGAGATAAGTAATTGAAAAATGAGGAAATGAGAGCAAAAAGATAAATGTGTACTATCATTTGGTTTAAAATAGAAATCTGAGTGCCTTGAATATATTTAAGCCATGTTGGTGGCAACTACTTGTTTTAAACTTGTAGGACAACTTTCGCACTGGGCAATGTAAATGAGTCCTTTAGGACCTAGCCGATAACTCTGTATTATATTTTCACAACAGTGGCTACCTAAAAACAAAAACAAAGAAACCCAACAAATCCTAGTTAATCATCATTCGATCCCCTCCTCAGCCCACCTTTTTTTTAAAAAAATGAGTGATCATAGAACTGAAGTTTATTTTGCTCTAGGAGAGTTTAAAACAATCATCTTAATCACAGAGAATGTTTCTCTCTCAGGTTAAAATATTATTAACCTGTATCAGTCCCTTCCCTTACCCTTCTCTTCCCCCTCATTTCCATTTTAAAATTATTTTATTGATAAAAAGAATGTGACTTGTGCAGAAGGCCTTGGAAGATGATTAAGTATGTGAGAAAGAAAATTCATGTTATAAAGATTTAAAAAAAAATCTCTTAGTGATCCTGGCACAAAATAAAACTTAACAGTAAAAACAGAAATTATTAAGTGCAGGTCTAGTTGATTGTCAACTTGACAATCAAATTAATAATGCACAAACGTGTGTATCATATATCAATCTATGATTTCCCTCTATACAAGGAAAGGTGTATAAACAGTCTGGCAATAATATTTTACTGAAGTGTAAAAAATATAGTGATTTATTAGCACTGTTTGCCATTTAAAATTAAGAACAGGTTATAAGCTAATATTGATATGATGATTAACTATGAGCTATTAAGATTTGCCTTGATGTGTGACATTCTGAGAGAGAGAGAGAAAGAATAGTCGTGCTCCCTAAAAGTTGTTCTTCATGTTGTTTCTTTTTTAATCATATGCTATGTGCTAGTTATATTGACAAGAAAAAAGGATTCATTACTTTTATGATTAAGCTAGCATCTGCCCCGCTGGAAGTTCACATAGCACTTGACTCTGCCTGTCGTGTCTGTATTGTTTCTTTTAATCAGAGGTACACAGGTTGAGTATAAAAAACTTTTTTAAGACTGCTCAGATAGGACAATTTAAATGCACTGTACAATTTTCCCAGTTTACAGGTCTATACTTTAAAGGGAAAAATTGCAAGATTAATGATTTTTTTAATGAGCATGATCTCATGATAAACATATAAATAATTCTGCCAGCTTGCCATTTTACTTGACTAATGAGTGGGACATAACATGGCGCTGTAAATGGGAACAAGTCCTGCAGTTATGTAAAAAAAAAAAAAAAACCAGAGAGATTGGTCTTGCTCCTACAGTGCAAAGAAGTGGTTATTTTGTACAAAACTTTTAAAAATATAAATGTTATGATTTTTTAAAAAAATTCATTATGTTTAGGGGAAAATGTATTTTAGGATTCATTGTCTTGGTGGTGTACAAGACCTGTTCTTCCTTGAAAACCAATAGTTAAAAAAATCCTATGCCTTGGATATACACACAACATTTCAGGTTGTAAAATAAATACAATGGGAAAAGGTTTAACAATATATAGTACTTAAATATAGGAATATGCACACTCCTATGCTAAGAAGAGGAAAAGCAAACAAATGGAAAAGAAGAAAAACACATTTATGGTCTCTTTTTTCTGTAATTTTTAGAATGGTATTTGAATTTAATGTTCACCTAGAGTAGGCACTATAGTATTTATAATGAAGCTTGTATTTTTAACTGTTGCTTGTTTCTCTTTTTTTAAAAAAAGGGTATCAGTTACCTTTTTTGGTAGTGGAAAAACACATACACACAAACAAAAAACAAATAGGCTGCCACAGTATATTTTTTTTTAATTTGGCAGGATAATATAGTACAAAATATTTGTATGTTTCAAAAAATAACGACAAGGAAAGTGTGACATTGTACAGATAGGCCATATAATGGCTGTTTTGGGGGAGGGGGAACAAAAACCTGTTTGAATGTCGCACTAAATTAGCATCTCTGATGGTTGTACATATCAAAGTTCTTTTGGGGTTTCTTTGTTTTTTGCTGCCATATTGTATGCAGTAATGCAAGGTGATGATGTTGGTTTGTTCTGTAGTGTGCTCTTTGGTCCCTTTTCTTCTCTTACCCTTTTACATTCCAGCATCTTAAACTTCATATGCAGTAAAAGAAAAAAAAATTAAAAAATAGAATGAAAGGAAAAAATAAAGTTTTGCAGGCTTTTTTTTCCATTGCCAAAAAGAAAAATAAATTAAAATGGTGCTTTATATATTTAGATTGGAAAGAATTTCATATGCAAAGCATATTAAAGAAAGAGAGAGAGAGAGAGCGCCCCGCTGGAGTCGATAACTTTTTTGTATATGGCAATGCAAAATATTTTGTTATTATCAACCTTTTCTATTCCTGTCATGAAAGCTGTTTGTCGTAACCTGAAATTTTATCTTTTACTATGGAAGTCACTATTTATTATTGCTTACACGCTCTGTTGAGAACAGTGGCGTCAGATTTGATCTTTGTTTTTGTTTTTGTTTTTTATTATTTAGATGACCAAAGGTCATTGACAACCTGGCTTTTTATTGTATTTTTTTTCTTTGTCTTTGTTAAGTTCTATTGGGAAAACCACTGTCTGTGTTTTGGGAGGGAGGATCTTTTTTTAATTGGGCAGTTGTCTGCATTACCCTGTTCATTCACCCATTTTGTCCCTAAACTGAAAAAAATAAAAAAAAATTGCTTAAAGTACATACCATAAGCTTTGCGTATCCTCATTTGACACACACTATAAATTTTCCTCAGTGAGATAGAAGCCCAGTGGGTTTTCTTCACAGGGCATTTTAATATATTACTAACCTAAAGACCCAGAAAGCTCCCTATTTATACTACAATAAAATATTTTGCCCCTGAGGAAATGGTTCTTTAGTTTTATATTGAGATGATTTAAAAAAAAATGAGGAAAACTTTATTTTATTTTCCATCTAGATGTTTTCCTTCTCTCCTTTCTGATTTTTCTAAGAATGCATAGGTAAAGACTAAAAGGTGAGCAGTTGGTGAAGCTCATGTTTGTCTGTGAGAGGGGCTATCGTTTTGGCCACTCCCATACCCTTTCTGTTTTGCACTGTTGCATACAATCACTAACATACCGAGTTATAAAATGATATGCAACCCTGTTTGGTGACCTTCCATAATTCCCTCCTCTTTCCCAACTTTAAAATCAACTAAAGATCCATGTGATATGAATTGGAAATATGTGGTCTCTGCTGTGCAGTCTAATATAGTAAAGGCAGAAACATTTTAAGGATGCACATCGAAACATACTGGGGTGCGCATTATAAATCCCCCAAGTTTGCATCTTCCAGAGTTCAACATATTGGGAAATTGCTTTGTGATACTTTGTCCAATCGGAAAACAGACTGGGATAGGAGCTGCTGTTTTTATATAGTCTGTACAGTTGATAGGTTTTACCAATACACTGTGTGTGTGTGTGTGTGTGTGTGTGTGTGTATTGTCTTTGCTTTTTGAACACCCTGTCAGCCTAAATATGGGAGAGAGAGAAGTCTATATATATATGTTTTACAAAGTTTTACAAATACTGCATGTTGCAGCATCAATTAAAAACATACCTCTGTGATACCATCTGTTGCTCTACCTACACAAATCTCTTGTGTATTTTTTTGTTTAAATTTTATTTTAAAGTTTACGTTGATGTCAGTTCATTAGCAATTTGGTATTTAAAATAACTATTAAAAGTAATTTCCCTAAAGTTCACACTAGGGATTTTTCATGGGTTGATTTAAAACTGCCCATGACCTATGCTTAAAGAACTTTTAAAAAGTCTTAATGTCCCAGCTCAGTTGCATTTTGGCACCAATGAGTAGCATAACATCAAAAACTGGGATTCCTCCATTCTAGGATTCCGAAGTATAAAATAGCTTGCCAACTATTATATTTCTTTTCTAATTTGTGCTGCTTCAGGGAGCCCAGTAGCATAGAATGTAAGACTATAGTGTTGAAACAAGGTTTGTGTGTCTCTCTGTGTGTACACACAGATACATACCCATACATGCATACACTCACATATGCAAACAGTGCATATACACAGACCTGCCAGACATATACATCTGCCATAGAGACATAAGTTTAATACGGAGAAAACAGTTCATGCTGAAATTATCCATCAAAAATCCAGCCATATACAAACTCTTTTAGCTTTGAATACATAAGCTTGTGGATCTAAGACTCTATGGACTTGTGAGGTGTACATGAACCTTGCTGTTCTTTGCTGGGAAAGTAGAGTTCTTAATTCTTCTATTTTTGGTACAGCATGTTCTCCTGACATAGAAGAGGATGAGAGAGGTTTTATTTCTATTAATGCAGGAGACTACATTAATGATGATGAAAATTATTATTTTCACATCCTGGTGATTCACAGGATGGGCTGATCTTGTCATCTTATGGTAGAATTGGACTGAATTAAAAAGGGTTTACATAAAACTGATAATTGCATGAGTTTCAATTGAGGACTTTACCTCTTACAGTTCCAGCTAAACTAGTTTTAGAAATCCATATGAACACTGCAGGCGTGTACTGGAATAATTATATACAGGCTTCAGAAGTTGTGAGAACTGAGAAAGGTTGTTGCTAGTAGAAGTACAGAAGAATTACATATATATTTTGTTTCATCTCACTGAAAATTGGTTAATACCTCTGTTGCTTCCCTTAACATGCTCAACTACCAATTTTCTAAGG